CCGTCCACCAGCCCCGCCCCGGTCTGCGGACCAGGCCCAGCGGGGAGGGGACACGGCTCCTCCCTGGACTGGCCAGCGCTGGCCTCCCGGGAGTGTGCCAGGGCGCTTGGCGTCAGGAGGGAGCTCGGGCAAGAGTGTGTGGGCGCAGGTGAGCGTGGCGAGCCCGCAGGGGGACACCATCTCCAGGCCACAGGGCCCCCGACCCTCCCAGCGGGCACGAGGGCAGCAGCGTCCTCCCCAGGCAGGTGCCCATGGCGCCCCCGAGGCCCCCCCGCCACCCCCCAGCCGTGCTGCTCCTCCTGACACGGGGACCCCCAACGCTGACCCACACGAGGCCAGGTGCCTGCGGCCTGTGCATGTCCCCACCCCGCCCTCTGCAGTCTCACTGTCCACCAGCGTCATCATGGGACTCCGCCCAGCGTCCCCATAGCCTCTGCCCCAGAGGGTGACTGGCAGCGGAGTTCAGTACAGAGGCCCGGGGCCCGGGGACTGGTTCCAGGAACCCCTAGGACTTCAGAACCCAAGGCTCTCGTCCCGTGTAAATGGCACCGTGTTTGCATGTGACGACACGCGTCATCCCAGACGTGTCCCCCCGCCCAGATTCCTCACGATGCTCGGGGACGACGCAGGGGCCAGGGGAGTGGCCGCTGCTCCGCACGTTCTGTCAACGTGGCGAGTTACAGTCGGTGCCTGTCCCTGCAGACGGCTATTTGGAACAAGGTCCCCTCAGTAGCTGGCTGGACCCACAGGTGCAGAGCCCCGGAGGCAGAGTGACAGCCTGCTTCGGAGTGACAAAGGCACAGCAGGTGTCACCTCCCTCCTGAGGGGTCACCTGGGCCAGCAGTAAGGCCTCACCCTGCCGGTGCCCTGGGGGTGTGGGAGGAGGCCGAGGCCAGTCCCCAGAGCTGTGGCCACAGATTTTCCTGTCTGAGGCCACCGGAGGCTGGGATGGTGACAGGCAGGACACCCTGGCCAAGGCTGCCCTGAACCCAAGCCCTGCCACAGCGAGGCCACAGCCCAGACCCCGCGGCCCGGGGACAGCACCAGGGCTGCCCCACCCTGGCCTGTGGCCCTTCCAGAAGAGCTCACCAGGCAGCGGCCTCCCAGAGGCCTGGCCAGCCCCGTGGGACTGACCCCCGGTGGGGGAGCCCCGGTGCCCAGGCCCAGCCAGCGTGGCCTCCAGGCCTGCTGCCCTTGTACAGGGCCTCAGCAGGGACCCAGGGCTGGGCTGAGCCAGGGCGGAGGACAGCTGGGCAGGCAGCGCCGGGGCTGCCCGAGCGTGGGCCAGGTCACACCTGCGGGGCGCGGAGACCGCGGGCTGCCAGGCTTCCTGGGTGCGGGTGACGCTGCCTCCCGGGCACACCACCTAGGGACGCCCAGCTCAGGAGCACAGGGGACAGACCGTCCAGGCAGCCCTGCGGGACACTCGGGTGTCTCCCTCTCCTCCCAAAGTCCATGTTTTCACAAAATTGAAGAAACCCCTTGGGGTCCTGTGTAACCCGTCCTCCCGTTAGGGTGACC